TTGGGAGACATTACTTTTCCGTATCAGGTATAATTCTCTCCTACTCCTTTTGGTTCAGATCTGGTTCAGTTTATGGTTCAAGAATGATCCTTGAAAATATGATTTTCTAAATAGGGAATGTGATTCCCAGTTGAAGGGAGAGAAAAATTTTTGAAATTCGCCCCCTTATTCCGCAATCTTTGGGCGTCCATGGGATGGATCTCTCATCCCTTCAAAAGACTCATCCCATGTTCTCTTCAATGTCACTAGAAGATAAAATACCAGTTGTAGTGCAACTAGGACTCCTCATCAAGAGTCTTGGTTCAACTAGGAGTCTTCCAATACTCATCCCAATGTTACCCAATAACTTTATATAGGAGTCATAGTCTAACTAGAACTCCTCAGCTAGAGTTCTACTCCAACTAGAACTCGTAGAAAGTATCCTAAATCAGTAAAGAGTCTTAAAAGTGACACCCTCCTCTTGTTAAAGGTATAGATTCCCTATTAAACATTTCCAAAGTCCTAAAGTCATTCCTAGGGGCCCCACATTCCTACCTATGGTATATCAAAGAAACTAATCATGATCCTACAACCCTTTGAACTCCTCAAGTCCAAGGACAAAAGTAGCCTTTGCACTTAAGCGACTCATGCCACTAATAGTGAAACAAATCCTTTAATGATCAACATAACTGGATCATATCAGTGTGTATCCCAAAGCACACCAACATGGTAGTTTAGAGTCTCACCCAAATGGATAAATATCACCACACCATCTTATGGTACATCCAACTTGTTTTTCTTGTAAATCATATTTAATATTTAGTGAGCCAAATAGGAGAAAAATAAGTAAGGAAGAATAGAAGAGAAGAGCATAACAAATTTGATAAAGCCAAAATGTGCAAGATATCAGCCTTCATTCCATACATTTATCAACCATAAGAAAGTGACCAGAATACCGTGGTCATACAGAATAAAAACCAACAGAAATATTAATAAAATAAGTGATGAATGGCAAGGGGTTAACAGAAATCATGCTTCTGGCCCCAATTGTAATACAATGATTCTTTAACGTAATTGGGGAGAGATTGTAGTGGTTATCTCATGGACTCTTTATGTAGCTAACTGTAGAGGGCTTTCTATACTTGCATATTGCTGTTTATATCTTTTTTGTAAGATTTTCTGTTTCTTGTAAAAAAAAAAACTAATAAACTAAGTGATGAATGACGGTAAATATAAGACATAAATGAGCTTCTCAACATCTATAATTACATATGCAAGGAGCCAACTGGCTCAGTTGGTAAGGTCTCGGGCTGGTTGTAGCAGAGGCTTGGGATTGAATCCCACCTGCACAAAGGGTGGGGGGTTATTGGTCCTCCCCCCCTGGCCGCATAGCCCCATGGATCAAAAACAAAAACAAGTATAATTTATGTATAATTGTTAAACACTCCCTGGTGAGGGTAAAAAGAATAGAAGAAAAGAAATTTGCATATATGAACACATGACACCTTGTAAAGCAAACTGCATCAAAACTGTACAACCAATTTCTCCGTCATGATTTCTTCAAAATAGACAACGAATTATTGTACTAGTAAGGATTGACTTACTGCAAATAGAAGGATCTAAAAGTGCAACGGCAAGACCATAAAAATTGTGGGAAGAAATGGTAAAGAATGATCTAATGACTTAATTTAACAGAAAACATGTATCTTCATAGATCACAACAGAAAAACTAGTGGATCCAGCCCCAAATAGTTTGGACTATTGATAGAGTTGAGTTGACTTTCTGCTAATAAGGGAGGTTTATGTTCAACCACAACTTGGTCATTGTTGTTCACTTGGTGAGGTGAACAATGAAACCCACTTAAATAAAGTGAATGACTTTCACCAGGTTTCACTGGATGAATACATAATTAATGTGTTAAAACATGCAAAAGAAGACAACAATATTTGCTATTAACTCACTGATGTAGTGTAACAAAAATTTGAGACTTCAAAAGTTCTTAGTACGTGGAGTTTCTATTCTTTAAAAAAAATCATGATAGAACCTTACCTGAGGAAGTGGCAGTACCACAATTACATCGATTAAAAAGTAACCTTTAAGGTAATGAAGAGCAATTGTCTTGGGATTGTCAACTAATTTACCACAACCCACAACTGTAGATTCAGGAGCAACATAAGCCAACCTGAACTGAAAAATACAAAAGCACAATGTATAAGATCTGAATTGTGGTCTACAAGAGATCCCATAGCAGCTAATGAATTGAAGATATTTCATCATTACAATTTCATTGATACAGAATGAGTACTTCAAGAATTAATTAATTTTTTTAAATGTAGAAAAGAGTAGAGTGATGTGGGCCTAGAGGGCCTGTACTATTGGGATTTTATTTCTTTTGTTTTCATTCTGACACCCTATGAGGGGCAGATATGTATTTTCCTCTTAAGTATAAAAGAAGTGAGCTTTCCATCAACACTACAATCAGTTCTCCCAATCTCTTCTTTCTTTCTTCGATATTCTCTCTTCTTCCCTCACTTCTCTTCCTTCTTTCACAGAAGGACCTGGTAATGCATAATATGCATATAGTTTTCCTAATCTGAAAGTAGTTTAGATCAACAACTGAAAGAAAGGACAATTCTCTTTGGAAAAGGACAAAGGTGTTGAGGCATATACCAGGAAGGCAATTTAATGTTTTGTTTTTATATCAGCCACCCTATGAGGGCATATCAGTCATTGTAAACTGTTTTTTTTAAGTATAAATAGTAATGCACGAGAGCAGCCAGATTAGATTGCTTCATCTTCCTTTCTTCATTCTTCTTCTTCTTCTCTCTTCTCACAAAAACTCCTTTTCTTCCTCTTTTTCATACAGATTTTATTTCAGCAGACTTCTACTCATGGTTGTGTGGGCATGATTCTGAAAAAGGGTAATTTAGTTGAAGAAAACCATTTTTTCTCCCATTCACTGATTTTGCTATTATTTTCAAAACGTAACTGAAATTGTCAAATGACCAAACTTGGTCATTTTTTGTGCAAAAATCCCTATTAATTATTTTAATTATATTATTCATTTAACTATTACTACTACTACTACTACTACTACTACAACTACTACTATCTAATATTAATTTTATTCTAAAAATTACAAGTAATATCAATTTATTAATGTTAATTAATAAATTAACATTAATTTCTTTTTGCTGTTAGGGTGCTGTCAGCATGTTCTTTTCTTGTTTTAATTATTTTATTATTAGGATGTGCCACCAGGGGTATGTTTGTAATTTTATTTTCTTTTAATTACTTCTTGTTATTATAAATAAGAAGCTGGGCGCCGCCAGCAAGAACTTTTGACTCAAACAGATTTGTTTCTCTTTTCTTATCTTCTCTTCCCTCTTCTCCCTCTCCTCTCTCTTCTCTCTCTCCCAGAAAGTAAACATGGTATCAGAGCTCAATTCTGGGCTATAGGGATCCTTTCTCTCCTCTGAATCATATCCATTCCCAATTTTACCTTGATTTCTTGGACGGTGAGGGCAAGAAACCCCAATCGGACTGATCAGACCACCCTGTTGCTGCTTTTTCTGGGTTCTTCCTTGGTCGTAGCACCAAGGTAACCCTAGTAGGAGAGGGCCGATGCTGTGAAGGCTTCCTTTTCCCTTGGCCGATGCTGTGAAGGCCTCTTCTCTGGGTTTGCACCTTCGTACTGGTGCTGTACAGGGGTGCGTGATCCCCTTTGTCACATCTATGTGCTGTAATTGGTTGGTATGTGGTCTTTTTTAATGGTTGGACTGTTGCTGGACTGTTTCTGTGGTCTCTTTAATTNTGGACTGTTGCTGGACTGTTTCTGTGGTCTCTTTAATTGTTGGACTGTTGCTGGACTGTTTCTGTGGTCTCTTTAATTGTTGGACTGTTGCTGGAATGGTTCTGTTGTCTCTTTAATTGTTGGACCAGTGCTGGTCTGTTTCTGGATTGCTTCTGGGCTGTTTCTAGATTGTTTAATTGTTGGACTAATTTTAGCAGTGCACTTCTCATCTCAGAAGTAGAAGTTTTTGGTGTTTAGTACTCAGATTGTGACTATGAGAGGTAGTAGTTGGGTGGGGACTGGTCTTGTGCACCTGTGGTTCTGTTTTTTTTAAGTGTAGATCTTTTCCCTCAATGGCAAATGATGATTCTGCTTCTTCTGGGGTTACATCAACCGTAGTACAGCTGGTATGGGAGTTGAGAACATGATGTTTCCTATGCCAATTACCCCTTTAAATGGCCTAAACTACCTGGAGTGGGCTAAAGGTGTAAAACATTATGTAACAGCAAGGGGAAAAGCTGGTTACATCATTGGAAGAGTGAATGAACCCAAGAGTGGGACAGCCGAACATGATAGGTGGGACCAAGAAAACAGTATGGTGATGTCCTGGCTCCTTGTAGCCATGGAATCTGATGTGAAAAAGACTTTATGTGGGCAGACACTGCTAGTGAGACATGGGAACAAGCCAAAACCACCTATTCTGAGCAAAGGCACTATGCCAAGATTTACTAGTTACAAGCTGAATGGAAACATGATGATGATGATGCTAAAGCCTATAAGAAGCCAGTTTCTTAGCAGCAGGTTTTTGCCTTCTTGTTGGCACTAAACTTTGTGTATAAACCTCTTAGAGTTCAAACTTTAGGAAGTAAAGAGTTTCCTTCAATTCAAGAGGTGTATGCCCTAGCTTAGTCTGAGAAAAGTAGGCAGAATGTGATGGTTACAAATGATGGGGAGCAATAGATGGCATTAACTACAATGGGTGGAAATAATATGGGAAAGAAAAATGACTCCAAGAAAGCTGATGATAAGGACAAGTTGTTCTGTACCCACTGTCAGCATTCAAGACATACACATGACATATGCTAGGAGCTCTATGGGAGGCCAAAGTGCGCTATAAAGGACCAAGAACAGAGTGAGGTACAGGGTCAAAAAAATCCTAATACAGCACATAATGCAACAAGTGTGGCAACCCAAGATACTCAATCTATTAGGGTGTCAATTGGTACTCCTCAAGAGCGCTTCACTAGTTCTAACCCCAAGGAAGATATCGTGAATTCCTTTCGTAATCATTTAGAATCATAGGATAGGGCCTTGTTCCAGATGGACAATTCAGTTACTAATACCCCTTCTACTTCATTTGGGTCTACATCAGGTAAGAAGCCTCTGCATTCCATGTCTCCACTGCTAATGATTCCCCCTAGATCATTGACTCAGGGGCCTCTAATCACATGACCAGTAAGCTGAAGGGATGGGAGATCCCTCATATGGATGGCTGAACCCTGCAGGAAGGTTGGGCGAAATTTCAAAAATTTCTTTACTCCCATCCGGGAATCGTATTCCCAATTTAGGAAACTGCATTTTCAAGGTTCGTTCTTATAACCAAACCGGACCAAATCTGAAACCAAGATTAGGTAGGGATATACCTGATACGGAAGCCACACAATAAGCTCCTCCCAACATAGGTGTTCACGCCCAAAGAGTGTACCAAATCCTCCCTACACTAAAGATGACACAACTTAGGATGAGGCAAGATCAACAGGTAGTTCTTCGCTAAGAACTTGTGATTCTTTTGTGTATTGTGTATCTTTTTCAGATCGCCCAGCTCTCTATTTATAGCCTTAAAGAGATGACCTCCTAATCTGATTAAGAGTCTCTTGATCCAAATCTTTATTATGGTTTCTAAAATGTTTGCAAGAAGGTTTTAATTCCCGGGATCCATATAAGTAGAGAGTGCAACACTGTTCCTTGTAGCCGAGGGAGAGGTCGTCTCTTGTTGAGCAGTGTATGATCATTATGGGCTGAGAGGTTAAGTGTAAGACCATTGAGGATAATACCTGATGGGCTAATCTTGCATCTGCCC